GATCTTCACCACCTACTCGGACAACCAACCCGGGGTGCTGATCCAGGTGTACGAGGGCGAGAGGGCCATGACGAAGGACAACAATCTGCTGGGGCGCTTCGAGCTGAGCGGCATCCCTCCGGCCCCCAGGGGCGTGCCCCAGATCGAGGTGACCTTCGACATCGATGCCAACGGCATCCTGAACGTCACGGCCACGGACAAGAGCACCGGCAAGGCCAACAAGATCACCATCACCAACGACAAGGGCCGCCTGAGCAAGGAGGAGATCGAGCGCATGGTACAGGAGGCAGAGAAGTACAAAGCGGAGGACGAGGTGCAGCGCGAGAGGGTGTCAGCCAAGAACGCCCTGGAGTCATACGCCTTCAACATGAAGAGCGCCGTGGAGGATGAGGGGCTCAAGGGCAAGATCAGCGAGGCCGACAAGAAGAAGGTGCTGGACAAGTGTCAAGAGGTCATCTCGTGGCTGGATGCCAACACCCTGGCCGAGAAGGACGAGTTTGAGCACAAGAGGAAGGAGCTGGAGCAGGTGTGTAACCCCATCATCAGCGGACTGTACCAGGGTGCGGGTGGTCCTGGGCCTGGCGGCTTCGGGGCTCAGGGTCCCAAGGGAGGGTCTGGGTCCGGCCCCACCATTGAGGAGGTGGATTAGGGACCTTCGTTCCTTATTATGTTTGTCTTTGAGGTGGACTGTTTGGACTCAAGGACTTTGCTGCCGTTTTCCTATGTCATTTTTGCTTCAGCTCTTTGCTGCTTCACTTCTTTGTAAAGTTGTATCCTGATGGTAATTAGCTGGCTTCATTATTTTTGTAGTACAACCAATATGTTCATTAGCATTCTTTGCATTTAATGTTGATACTGTAAGGGTGTTTCGTTCCCTTTAAATGAACCAACACTGCCACCTTCTGTACGAGTTCTTTCTTTCCTTCTTGCTTTGGGAAAACACTACAAAGGCTGGGAATGTATGTTTTTATAATTTGTTTACTTAAATATGAAAAATAAAATGTTAAACTTGTTCTTGTCTGTTTATATGTGAAGATAATGGATATTTGGGGAGGGATAGTGTCTGAATTCCATCTATCTTTATAGTCTGAAAAGGACAGTACTTCTGAAGAGTTATACGTGTTGGAGTTAGGGCTACACATATTTTTGTTAGGGCTTAATTGTGGGCCTTAAGAGGAATTGCAGGTGCCCGTCTTGATTAGAGTGGGGCTTGTTTCAGGGAAAAGTAGGGATGGCAGCTTCAAAAGGGTGTTGGAGGGGTGGTTGAGGTGGGTTAACTGGAGCGAGGAGGGAGGGGTGGTGCTGAGAGGGGATCATGGTTGTTTTCTCTCCCTCTTGCACTTAGCGGAGTCCACAAAAAACAGTCACTTTTTCGTTGTTGTTTTTTTGAGATGGAGTCTCACTCTCATTCTGTCGCCCAGGCTGGAGTGCAGTGGCAGGATCTCGGATCACTGTAACTTCCGCCTCCCAGGTTCAAGGGATTCTTTTGCCTCAGCCTCCTAACTGGGACTACAGGCGCGTGTCACCACGCCTGGCTCATTTTTTGTATTTTTGGTAGAGACGGGGTTTTACCGTGTTAGCCAGGATGGTTTCAGTCTCCTGACCTCGGCTCATATTCATTTATATGTGGAATCTAAACAGTAGAACTCAGAAGCAGAGAAGAAGTGGTGGTTAGCAAGGGCTGTGGGATGGGGGAATGGGGAGATGTGCAAGGGGAACAAAGCCTCAGACAGGAGGAATGAGTTGTATTTTTTTTTTTGAAACGGGATATTGCTCTGTTACCCAGGCTGCAGCACAGTAGAGCTCACTGTAGTCTCAAACTCCTGGGTTTAAGCAATCCTCCCACCTTAACCTCCTGAGTAACTGGGTCTACAGGTATGTGCCACCATGCTCGGCCAATTTTTTGCATTTTGTAGAGACCAAGTCTTGCTGTGTTGCCCAGGATGGTCTCAAACTCTTCAGCTCAAGCGATCCCCTTGTCTATTCCTCCCCAAGTGCTGAGATTATAGGCGTGAGCCACTGTGCCCTGCCTGTTTTTGTGTTTTTGTTTTCATTTTTTTGGGGGGGTATATATTCCATGGCATGGTGAAAATAGTTAATAGTGTATATTTCAAAATTTCAAATGTTCTTATCACAAAAGTATTTGCGGTGATATGTTAATTAGCTTGATTTAATTACTCCATATTGTGTTAATAGTTAATGACTATTTTGTACCTAATATATACAACTAAAGTTTGTCAATTTACAAAAACAATTTAAAAATAAAATGGGCCAGGTGCGATGGCTCATGCCTATAATCCCAGAATTTAGGGAGGCTGAGGCGGGCGGAGCACTTGAGGTCTGGAGTTCAAAACCAGCCTGGCCAACATGGTGAAACCCCATCTCCACAAAAAGCAATAGAATTAGCTGGCTGGGCGTCGTGGCTCACGCCTGTAATCCCAGCACTTTGGGAGGCCGAGGCCGGTGGATCACCTGAGGTCAGGAGTTCAAGACCAGCCTGGCCAACATGGCGAAACCCCGTCTCTACTAAAAAAAAAAAAAAAAAAAAAAAAAAAACACCCAAAAAAAAAAAAAAAAAAAAAAAAAAAAAAAAGCCAGGTGTGGTGGCACAAGCCTATAGTCCCAGCTACTCAGTAGGCTGAGGCAGGAGAATCCCTTGAACCCAGGAGGTAGAGGTTGCAGGAGCCAAGACTGCACCACTGCACTCCAACCTGGGCGACAGAGAGTGAGACTCTGTCTCAAAAAAAAAAAAAAAAAAAAAACCTCACAATAGAATTAGCTGGGTATGGTAATGGATGCCTATAATCCCAGTTACTGGGGAGGCTGAGGCAGGAAAATCGCTTGAACTCAGGAGGTGGAGGTTGCAGTGAGCCAAGATCATGCCAGCGCACTCCAGCCTGGGCTACAGTGAGACTGCATGTCAAAAAGAAAGAAAGAAAGAAATTAGCTGGGCTTGATGGCGAATCTCTGTAATCCCAGCTACTACGGAGGCTGAGGCAGGAGAATTGCTTGAACCTGGGAAGTGGAGGTTGCGGTGAGCTGAGATCACACCACTGCGGTCCAGCCTGAGCAGCAAGAGCAAAACTGCGTCTCAAAAAAAAAGATAAAATAAATAAAAAATAAAACTTGCGGGATGGGCAAAACAGCAACAATGAAGTGGAGGTTCAGACTATGGCTCTGCAAATCCCAACTTGGGTGACCAAGTCAAATTATTTAGACTGATTTAGCTTTCGTTGCCTCCTTTTAAAATAAAGTATTTTGTCTGAATAGCTTCACTTCAAAAGTTCTAAGATCGTTTTGAGCAGAACTGTGAGGTAGACTAACATTTTCAGCTATGGTCACCCTAGCTACAATTATCCAAGTGACGGTCCGGAGGAATGAGAGTTTGGGGCTATGGTGGTAAAGGAAAGATGAGTCAGGTTCTTTGTATCACCTCTGTAATCCTCATCCCATTCTCCTCTATATTAGGTATTCTAGAACCTTTTTGACAATTTAGCATATGGAAGTGGTCACTTGAGCTGCATCCAAGGTCAAATTAGAGAGCAACAAGTGATGGTTTAGGAGCCAAAGATTTTTTCCCCCACTGCCTGCCTGAATATCGTTGGCATTTAGTAGTTCGTGTCGGGTTCTAAATGATGGTTTTACCCTAGATTTTACGAACAGTAGCCTTTTTGTCCTTTTTCATGAATACTCTAAAAAATAGCAAATATATGAGGAAAGGAGAAAAAGGCTGCACAGCATAAAGCTGAGAAGATTACGTTAATGGGTTGTCCTCCCACACAAGCCTTTCCTGAAGGTATTCTTCCTGCCATATCAGCTAGGTGTCCCTAACACTTCCTCCCCAAAACTGAACCTAGAGATAGCTACTCTCAATCAGGCTGGGCTTGGTGGCTCACGCCTGTAATCCCAGCATTTTGTGGAGGCCTAGGCAGGCAGATAACCTGAGGTCAGGAGTTCGAGACCAGCCTGGCTTACATGGTGAAATCCTGACTCTACTAAAAACATAAAAATTAGCCAGGCGTGGCGGTGTGCACCTGTAATCCCTGGTACCTGGGAGACCGAGGCAGGAAAATCGCTTGAACCGAGGAAGCGGAGGTTGCAGTGAGTCGACATCATGCCACTGCACTCCAGTCTGGGCGACACTCCCTCTCAAAAAAAAAAAATGAAGAAAAAGATACCAACACACACAACACACATCACCAAATATCATACACGTTTATAAATGAGGGAGATAGGAAAGGGTCCAGAAAGGTGGGATTTGAAATGATTTATGAGTTTCAAAAATGCTGTTATTTATTTATTTTTTAAGTAGAGACGGGGGTTGGGTGTCACTATTTGCCCAGGCTGGTCTCGAACTCCGGGTCTCAAGTGATCCTCTGCCTAGGCCTGTCCAAAGTGTTGAGATCACAGGAGTGACCTATTACGCCCGACCTGGCTTTTGTGTTTTTGGTTTTTGTTTTGTTTAATTGACGCTTAAGGTGCCTGACAGTCTGCGGGATCGAGCTGGGAGACGAATTCAGATTTCGCTGGGGGAACGGAGTGCGGAGTGTCACGGTAGCTGGACCCTAAACTGGGGCAGCTGGACCCTAAGCTGGGGCAGCTGGACCCTAAGCTGGGGCAGCTGGACCCTAAACTGGGGCAGCTGGACCCTAAACTGGCGCAGCTGCGCGCGCGCTCCAGCGGAGTCCCAAGGTCATTAACCAACCACGGGCTCCTGGGAAGCGGCTTATGAACAGCATCCGGCTGGCGCTGGCCTGCTGGCGCCAGGGACTTTCTTCCGCCTGGCCAGACAGGTCCCTGTTTTTTGTTTTTCAAAATTCAGAAAGCATCTCCGAATGTTTGCCCAGAAGGGGGTGAAACATACTTTCCTGGCCTTTCTTTCACTTTGTTGTAGTTCTATGTGGATGAACAATGGGGAAAATGCCGCGCGTTTAGCCAGGCAGATAAGAAAACAGCCATAGCCGTCAGGCCCCCGACCCGGCGCCGCCATAAATAGACCCGGCCTCACCATTTTAGTCCTTTTTGCGGAGTGGGCTCGTGGGTTGCTGGTAGAAGAGATGTAATGTTTTTCTACCGCGTGCTGCAGGCCCGGCTGTTGAGTGAGGGGGAGCAGGGGATCCCAATGGCCTGCCCTGCCTTTGCGCAGCAGCCAGCGGGCAGGTACGTCGCGGCCTGGCCGAGGGAGGAGAGCGCGGTCCCCAGTCGAGGTGAACTACCATTGCACACTGTAGAGTTTCTGGTGCCTCTTCTTGGAACTCGGCTAGCGGCGCCACAGCCCCTGCTGACTAATCGCGACATCACAACTGTGAGTGGGGTTGTGCGAGTGACTGTAAAATGGGGGTGACGGTCGCCCGGGGAGAGGAGGGGAGTGATGATGACCCCAGGTGACTCTGAGTGTGTCGCTGACGCCATCACCGCAGCGCTCTGACCGCCCCTCGGTCCAACATTTCTAGACCGGGCTCAACGAGGGGTTCACGGCCAAGATCTCTAATCTTTTGTTCCTGTGTTTCATTTCCCCGTTAGGAATTGTAAGACGTTCATCGCTGTGTTATCCTTGAGTAAAGGTGAGTATTAGGTGCGGGAGCCTTTTGAGTGCCTCTTGGGAAAGCTTTGTTCCCAAGCAGGCTTTCGTTCATGGGGCATTATGCGCCTCCCTGCCTTTTTTTTTTTTTTTTTTTTTTTTGGAGACAGTCTGCCTGTCCCCCTGGCTGGAGTGCAGTGGCAAGAACACAGTACTGCAGCCTCTGCCTCCCGGGTTCAGTCGATTGTCCTGCCTCAGCTTCCCGACTAGCTGGGACTACAGGCCCGCCCCACCACACTCGGCTAATTTTTGTATTTTTAGTAGAAGGGGTTTCACCGTGTTGGTCAGGATGGTCTCCGTCTCCTGACCTCGTGAGCCATTGCGTCCTGCCACTTTTTTCTTTTTTGAGCTATCCACGTACCACAGCTGGTGACCCTTTTATTTGTTCTTGCTATTTTGTTTTTGAGACTGTTTGCTCCGTCGCCCAGGCTGGAGCGCAATACCAGGATCTTCCTGCCGCATCCGCCGTCAGGGCTCGAGTGGTCTTTCCACCTCAGCCTCCTGGGACTACAGGCACGTGCTACCACCACGCCTGGCTAATTTTTAGTTTTTTTTTTTTTTTTTTTTTTAAACAGAAACGGGCTTTTACCATGTCCAGGCTGGTCTCGACTCCTGGGCTCAAACAGTCCTCCTGCCTGTCTCCCAAAGTACTGGAGTTACAGAGGTGAGTCGCTGCGCCTGATGTTGGTGACTTTCTAGAGACTACTTTTTGGGTTACACCATTTTCCTTGTGACTGTTGTGTTTTTACTGTTTTGGGGGACCAGGGGAGAGAGTCTCGCTCTGTTGCCTAGGCTGGAGTACAGTGGCATGGTCTACACTTACTGCAATCTCTGCCTCCTGGGTTCAGGCGATTCTCCTGCCTCAGCCTCTAGAGTAGCTGGGATTACAAGCATGTGCCACGGCTCCCTGCTAATTTTGTATTTAGTAGAGACGGGGTTTCTCCATATTGGTCAGGCTGGTCTCAAACTCAGGTGATCCACCTGGTTCGGCCTCCCAAAGTGCTGGGATTACAGGCGTGAGCCACCTTGCCTGGCCTGTGTTTTTACGTTTCAATAAATTCCTGTATTTTTGTTGAAGGCTGGGTAACCTGACTCCTCCACTCATTTCTACTGTAAACTAGGAGTACACTGAGACCTCCCAGAGGAGCTGTTCTCTGCAGTTTTAAGTTACTTTCTATTACTCTTTCTAACGTCCATTCTTGGACTCATTTGTTAGACCAATATATATTGGGACTGTTGTGTTTTCTTTGAATGTACTGGATAGATCTCTTTCCAGAAGGGCTTCCCTTGATCCAGATCTCCCTAATTGGGAATGATGATTTCACAGACTAGAGTCTCTGATGCTGGTCATGATGTCAAAACTAAGTTCTGACTCATTTAGGGAACTGGATACTTGGGTTTCTAAGAGGGACCCAATGGAAGAGCCATAATTCTGCTTATTCTCAAATTGTCTTGTTTTCACCTTGTTAGAATGTGAGCTCTGGAAGCCCAGCCAGGGACAATGCTCCTTCACAGAGATTCTGCACTAACCTGAGTGAAGGCCTAAGGTTTGGAACCTCCCCCTCGTGGAAAGAAGCTTTGTATGGCTGTCATGCTTAGACAGTGATTCCTGCGACTTGACCTTCAGGCTGGGAGAGGTGGAGAGCCATGCGTGTTCTCCTTCGTTGCTATGGTGAGTATCCTTTGTTTTGGCTCAGTCGGAGCGGTAATGATGATCTGGTTGGACTAGAGTCTCTGAGCTTTTCTCTGAGGATCTTTGAACCCACCTGATCCACCCTCATCCTGCCTAGAATCTCCTGTAATTCATGTTTTTATGGCCAGTTATTTACATGATGAGGTTTGATTGGCTATGGTTCTGCAGGATGTATGTGAAGCATGGTGCTGGCATCTACTCAGCCTCTGGGGAGGCCTCATGATACTTTATATTGCATAAGGTACAGAGAAAAGTAGGGATGTAGCATGGCCAGAGCAGCAGCAATGGCTGGGAGTTTCCTCACCTTTTTAATAAACTGGTCTCTAGAGAACTGATTGTCATGAGCACAGCATCAACGGGATGGTACTTAAGTCATTCATGAAGAATCCATCCCAGTGATCCATTACAATTCAATATGAGATTTGGTGGGGAGACAGATCTAAACTATATTACAGGGTCTCACTTTGTGCACAGGCTGGTCTTCAACTCCTGCCTCAGTGAGCCACTGTGCCCCACCCCAACATGTTTTGTGTATTTTTTGAGACTCGCTCTGTCATCCAGGCTGGAGTGCAGTGGTACACTCTTTATCATGATATGGTACGCCATATCAGCTTACTACAGTCTCTGTCTCCCAGGTTCAAGCAATTCTCCTGCCTCAGCCTCCCAAGTAGCTGGGATTACAGGCATGCGCCACCAGGCCCGGCTACTTGTTGTATTTTTAATAGAGACAGGGTTTCACCATGGTGGCCAGGCTGGTCTTGAATTCCTGACCAAGAGATCCGCCTGACCTCCCAAAGTGCTGAGATTACAGGTGTTAGCCACCGCACACAGCCCGCAACATGTATTTTTATTTTTTGTTTGAGATGGAGTTTCGCTTTGTCGCCCAGGCTAGACTGCAGTGGCGCATTCTCAGCTCACTGCACCCTCTGCCTCCCAGGTTCAAGTGATTCTGCCTCTCAGCCTCCCGACTACTTGGGATTACAGGCATGCACCACCGTGCCCAGCTAATTTTGTATTTTTAATAGAGATGGAGTTTCACCATGTTGGTCTCGAACTCCTGATCTCAGGTGATTTGCCCACCTTGGCCTCCCAAAGTGCTGGGATTACAGGTGTAAGCCATAACGTCTGACAATTTTACTGTTTTTTGAGACAGTCTTGCTCTCACCCAGGCTGGAGTGCAGTGGTGCAATTACAGCTCACTGCAGCCTCAACTTCCTGGGTTGAAGCTCACCTCTCACCTCACCCTTGGAGTAGCTAATGACTACAGGCATGCACCACTATCTCTGACTGATTTTTTTGAGATGAGTCTCGCTCTGTCGCCCAGGCTGGAATGCAGTGGCGCGATCTTGGCTCACCGCAAGCCTCGCCCAGCCTATCCCTGGCTAATTTTTTTTAAAAAAATTTGAGGATGGGTGTGGTGCCTCACGCCTATAATCGCCGCCTCTGTGGGAGGCTGAGGTGGGTGGATCACCTGAGTCAGCCTGGCCAACATGGTGAAAACCTGTCTCTACTAAAAATACAAAAATTAGCTGGGCGTGGTGGCAGGTGCCTGTCAGTGATCTACTTAGGAGGCTGAGGCAGGAGAGTAGCTTGAACCTGGGAGGTGGAGGTTGCAGTGAGCTGATATGGCGCCATTGCGCTTCACCCTGGGTGACAGCAAGACTCCATCTCAAAAAAAATCTGTAGATATGGGGTCCTACTATGGTGCTCAAGCTGGGTCTCAAACTTCTGGGCTCAAGTGATTCTCCTGCCTTGGCCTCCCAAAGTGTTGGAATTGACAGGCGTGAGCTACCATGCCCAGCCTCAGCTTTTGTTGTAGATTTAGGGGGTATTATGTGTAATTTCGTTACTTGGGTTCAGTGTATACTCAACGTTTAGCTCCCACTTGCAAGTGAGAACATACGGTATCTGGTTTTCTGTTCTGTATTAATTCACCTGAGGATCATGGCCTTTGGTTGCATCCATGTTTCTGCAAAGGACATAAAATCCTTCATTTGTATTGGTACATTCTATATGGTTCTAATATTCTTTTTATGAATTTTCAGGAATTTGCTGACACAATATCTTCTGCCTGGTGCTGGGCATATCCTAAGAACTGACAACTTTCCTGTATTACCCTGTGTGAGCAGCTGTGTCACCTTATTGGGGGAAGAATGCCTGAAAATTAGGGGGCACTTCAAGTAGAGAGCTTCTATTTCCTGTATTTGTCTTATATACAAGTATTTGCTTTTATCAAAATAATTCTAATAAAACATTTTAAAGTAAACAAGACATGGTTTGGTCTCAGTGAAAAGGTACAAAAAGATTAAGGGGGCTGGGCACAGTGGCTCATACCTGTAACCCCAGCACTTTGGGAGGCTGAGGTGGGTGGGTCACAAGGTCAGGAGATCGAGATTATCCTGGCCAACATGGTGAAACCCCGTCTCTACTAAAAAATATATATATACAAAAATTAGCTGGGTGTGGTGATGCATGCCTTGTAATCCCAAGCTACTCGGGAGGCTGAGGCGGCAGAATAGCTTTGAACCAGGGAGTTGGAGGTTACAGTGAGCAGAGATCATGCCACTGTACTCCAGTCAGCCATCTCAAAAAAAGATTAAGGGAAGTGAAAGGTGAAGCCGTGTGAGTTAATGCTAAGAGTTAGGCTGTACCCCACCTTAACCCTAATATTAGAGATTCTTGGTTGGGTGACATAGTATTATGTATAATACACTAGACTTTTGACAGTCATTTGAGGTTTTTTGTTTTTTTTTGTTTTTTGGTGGAGGGGAGGTGGAGTTTTGCCCTTGTTGCCCAGGCTGGAGTGCAATGGTAAAATCTTGCCTCACTGTAACCTCTGCGTCTTGAGTTCAAGTGATTCTCCTGCCTCACAGCCTCCTGAGTAGCTGGAATTACAGGCACCTGCCACCTCCCCCAACTATTTTTTGTATTTTTAGCAGAGGCAAGGTTTCACCATATTGGCCAGGCTGGTCTTAAACTCCTGATCTCAGGTGATCCACCCACCTTAAACCATCCGCCTGCCTCAGCCTCCTAAAGTGTTGGGATTATAGGCATGAGCCACTGAGCCTGGCCAAATTTTAGCTTTTTAAATTATTGTAAAGTATCCACACAGCTACCTAATTAGCCACCTTTTTTTTTTTTTTTTTTTTTTTTTGTGGAGACAGTTACACCCTGTTACCTGGGCTGGAATATAGTGGTGCAATTTTGGCTCACTGCAGCCTGTCCCTCCTGGGTTCAAGTGGTTTTCATGCTTCAGCGTTCCCAGTAACAGGCTACAGCTGCACACCTTATTTTAAAGAGATGGGGGTTTCACCATATTGACCAGGGTGGTTTTGAACTCCTGACCTCAAGTAATGTGCCCAGCTGGAACATTACCAATAACTTTGAAGCAAACCTGTGTGATTCAGTTTCGCTTTTTCTTCCTACTTGGAGAATTAACTGGGTATATCATCCTCTGGCTTTTCTTAGTAGTTTTACTGAGTGCATTCCTAAACAATGTGTCATTTTAATTTTGTATATCTTTTGAACTTTATAAAAATTGAATGATCCACCAGACACAGGAGACAACATTTTTCTTTTTTTTTTTGGGGGGGATGGTGTCTCGCTGTGTTGCCCAGGCTGGAGTGCAGTGGCGCGATCTGGACTCACTGCAACCTCTGCCTCCCAGGTTCATGCCATTCTTCTGCCTCAGCCTCCTGAGTAGCTGGGACTACAGGCACCCGCCACCACACCCAGCTAATTTTTTGTATTTTTAGTAGAGACGGGGGTTTCACCATGTTGGCCAGACTGGTCTCGAACTCCACCTTGTGATTTGTCCACCTCGGACTCCCAAAGTGCTGGCATTACAAGCATGAGCCACTGTGCCTGGCCCATTTTTTATTTTTCAAAAAGAATAGTTCTTCATGTGTTCTGCCACAACTTTTTTTTGGTAGAGGGGACAGAGTCTTGCTCTGTTGCCAGGCTGGAGTGCAGTGGTGTGATCTCAGCTCACTGCAACCTCCACCTCCCAGGTTCAAGCGATTATCCTGCCTCAGTTTCCCGAGTAGCTGGGAACACAGGTGTGCACGACCACACCCAGCTAATTTGTATTTTTACTAGAGATAGGGTTTCACCATGTTGGCCAGGATGGTCTCCATGTCCTGACGTCACCATCCGCCTGCCTCGGCCTCCCAAAATGCTGGGATTACAGGTGTGAGCCACCACGCTTGGCTTTATTTATTTATTTTTGAGACGTAGTTTTGCTCTTGTTGCCCAGGCTGGAGTGTGATGGCACGATCTCAGCTCACCGCAACCTCTGCCTCCTGGGTTCAAGCAATTCTCCTGCCTCAGCCTCCCAAGCAGCTGGGATTATGTGCCACCATGCCCAGCTAATTTTTAGTAGAGACAGAGTTTCTCCATGTTTGTCAGGCTGGTCTCCCGAACGCCAGCCTTGGTGTCTGAAAGTGAGTGCTAGGTTTCTAGGCCAGAACCACCATGCCTGGCCTGCAACATTTTTTGTTGTTCATGTATTTTCCTATAGTTCATTTGGAGTCCACCCTTCCAGACACATCTGTGGACATAAAAAACTTCAGGGTCTGGCATGGTGACTCATGCCTGTAATCGAAGCTGAGGCAGACTGATCACCTGAGGTCAGGGGTTTGGGACCAACCTGGCTGACATGGTGAAACCCCATCTCTATTAAAAAAAAAAAATACAAAAAAGGGGCCGGGCTCCCGCCTGTAATCCCAGTACTTTGGGAGGCCAAGGTGGGTGGATCACAAGGTCAGGAGTTGGAGACCAGCCAGGCCAATATGGTGAAACCCCGTATCTAATAAAAATGTGAAAATTAGCCAGCCGTGGTGGCGTGTGTCTGTAGTCCCAGGTACTGACTGGGGAGGCTGAGGCAGGAGAATTGCTTGAACCTGGCGGGTGGAGGTAGCAGTGAGCCAATATCGTGCCACTACACTCCAGCCTGGGCAACAAGACGGGGAGACTTCATCCTAAAAAAAAAAAAAAAAAAAAAAAAAGACTTCCGGCCGGGTGAGATGGCTCATGCCTGTAATCCCAGCACTTTGGGAAGCTGAGGTGAGCAAATCACATGAGGTCAGGAGTTCAAGATCAGCCTGGCCAACATGGTGAAATTCTGTCTCCCCTAAAAATACAAAAATCTAGCGAAGCATGGTAGCATGTGTCTAATCTCAGCTGCTGAACTACAGAGGCTGAGTCAGGAGAATTGCTTGAACCCAGGAGGCAGAGGTTGCAGTGAGCCAAGGTTGTGCCACTGCACTCCAGCCTGGGTGACAAAGCGAGACTCTGTCTCAAAAAGAAAAAAAAAAAACCTTCAGAATGTATTTTTATAAGCTGATGGGTATGTCTAGGTAGTATATATCAGGAGTTCTATTTGTATGACACTTGACTGTTTAAAATGACAGTATCACAGAGGAAGTATAAGGGACTGGTCAAGATTCAGGAGCCTAGCCTGGCGTGGTGCCTCACTCCTATATCCCAGCACTTTGGGAGGCTGAGGCAGGTGGATGACTTGAGGCCAGGAGTTTGAGACCAGCCTGGCCAACATGACGAAACCCTGCCTGTACAGAAAATACAACTAGGGCCGGGTGTGGTGGCTCACGCCTGTAATCCCAGCACTTTGGGAGGCCAAGGCGGGTGGATCACCTAAGGTCAGGAGTTCAAGACCAGCCTGGCCAACATGGCGAAACCCTGTCTCTACTAAAAATACCAAAAAAAAAAAAAAAAAAAAAAAAAGCCAGGTGTGGTGGCATGTGCCTGTAATCCCAACTACTCAGGAGGCTGATGGCAGGAGAATCACCTGAACCTGGCAGGCAGAGGTTACAGTGAGCTGAGAACATGCCATTACACTCCAGCCTGGGCAACAAGAATGAAACTACGTCTCAAAATATATACATACATACATACATACATACAGTTAACCAGGCATAGTGGCACGCACCTGTAATCCCAGCTACTCAGGACGCTGAGGCATGAGAATCGCTTGAACCTGAGAGGTGGAGGCTGCAGTGAACCAAGATGGTACCACTGCACTCTAGCCTGGGTGACAGAGTGAGATTGTTTCAAAAAGATTCAGGAGCCAGACTGAACACTTACTGCTAGGTTAACTTTGGCTAAGTTCCTCAGTCATTCCCATAACAATTTCCTCGTTTGTAAATAGATAACCTCTTTTTTATTTTTATTTATTTTTTGAGTAGTAGAGATAGGGTTTCACTATGTTGGCCAGGCTGGTTTCAAACTCCTGACTCCAAGTGATCCACACACCTCCCAAAGTGTTGGGATTATAGATGTGACCCACTGCACCCGGCATACCCTCTCTTCTTTTTGAGACAGCGTGTCACTCTGTTGCTCAGGCTTGAGTACAGTGGCAAGATTACAGCTCACTGCAGCCTTGACCTCCTGGGCTCAAGTGATCCTCCCACCTCAGCCTCCCAAGTAGCTGGAACCACAGGTGCTCCATCATGCCCAGCTAATTTTTTTTTTTTTTTTTTTTTTTTGAGACGGAGTCTTGCTCTGTCACCCAGGCTGGAGTGCACTGGCACAATCTCAGCTCGCTGCAAGCTCCACCTCTCAGGTTCACGCCATTCTCCTGCCTCAGCCTCCCGAGTAACTGGGACTACAGGCGCCGGCCACCATGCCCGGCTAATTTTTTTGTATTTTAAGTACAGGTGGGGTTTCACCATGTTAGCCAGGATGGTCTCAATCTCCTGACCTTGTGATCTGCCTGCCTCAGCCTCCCAAAGTGCTGGGATTACAGGTGAGTCACTGTGCCTGGCCATGCCCAGCTAATTTTTAAATTTTTTATACAGTGAAGTTTTCACTATATTGCCTGACTGGTGTCTAACTCCTGAACTCAAATGATCTACCTGCTTTGGCCTCCCCAAATGCTGAGATTACAGGCTTGAGCCACCAAGCCCGGCTTATCCCGTCTGTAACAAAAAAGATGCCCAGTGCCGTGGCTCACGCCTGCAATCCCAGCACTTTGGGAGGCAGCGGTGGGCAGATCTCTTGAACCCAGGAGTTTGAGACCAGTCTGCCTGGGCAACACGGTGAAATCTAGTTCCTACAAAACAATTTAAAAATTAGCCAGGTGTGCTGGCATGCCTGTGGTTCCACTACTTGGGAGACTGAGGTGGGAGAATTGCTTGAGCCCTGGAAGTTGAGGCTGCAGTGAGCCATGATTGTGCCACTGCACTGCAGTCTGGGCAACAGAGTGAGCCTTGTCTCTAAATAAATAAATGAAGAGAGAGAGTCATGCTCTGT